TTTAGATTATGATTTCCACTTCATTCAAGGTAAAGTGTAGAAATAGAAGTAATTGCATTAAATTTGGGATATCTAATCCTAAATGCTGACGTGATATAAATTTCTCTTTAATCTAGTTCTCTTTAAAATCAGTTATGAAGTTTTAGCTATCTATCTGCTCGCCTCTGTATGCGCTCTGTCTCTGTCTTTCATTAGACCATCCATGCCCTTTGCACACTTTCCGTCTGGCCAAAGACCAAAGTTTTGGACTAAGCGTAGTTTGGCCAACAACTGGCAACTATCACAACGCCAACGCTGTAAACATCAACTGTGATGGAAGTAGCTCGAGGTTGTGTGGGTATTCGCAGCCAGAAACGGGACATCATAATAACTCGGCACGCCTTGCTCGGGGCGGGAGCGGAGCTTATGCTTGGCCATAAATACCTTAACAGCTTTTGCGTAACTTAAGTCACCTTAGCACTTAACAACAGGGCGTTGGGTGTGGGCGTGCCAATGTGTGTGAGTGTGTGTAGGTGTTGGTGCTACGCGCATTACGTTCACATTCGCAGGTGAGAGTTTTTAAGCGTTGCATTACGCTTAAGCGAGCACCAAATGCAACGCGCTGCAGCTGCAATGAGTTAACTCAATAATGCACTTGGCCAGGCACACACTCACACACACAAACTCACACACTCATACTCTTTTTCATTCGGCATAGGGCCCACAGCTCGGCTGTCGTGTCCATATAAATGCGCACTTGTTTCAGCTTTTATTATTATTGTTTTTTGCTGTAGTCGTTGTTGTTGTTCTTGTTGTTGTTGTGTTGAATAAAGTGCTTGGCAATTTTCATATGCTTTTAAAATTTTTTTTTTTGCAGGTTTCTGCAGCTCGGCAACAATAAATCACAGCTATTGACAGGCATGGCGTATACTTAATGTCGAGCACCCGCAGCTGCCAATGACAATATGCAAGCAAATAGTCCTTCATTAATAAGTTGAGCTGTTGCTTCAAAATTATTTAAATATTAAAGTCTGCGAATTTCAATTTATATTTTAATTCATTCATTTTTATTGCACTCTTATGTCAAAGATGTATAAATTTATAAGTTCTCAATTGTGTGGTGAGTATTTAAGGTTGCTATAGTTTAATACTATTATTATACTACTATTCAATACTAGTCGAAGGCACCTGCTGATAGTGCTTAAATGGTTTAATTATGGAATTTAATTTAATTTCATATTAATTTAATATATTGCTTGCGTATATTTATCAATTATATTAAGCTAAAATTGAAAAAAAATTTAATTTGGAATATATTTCAGATATATTCATTTTGTTATTCATTACTTAATTAATAATCTAAGCTAAAATGAAAAAAAAAAAAATATTTTATTTGGAATATATTTCAAATATATATGTCGAATATTTCTTCAGATTAGATAATTTTGTGGAACGCAACGTATTTCTGCACTGTTGCCCTTCTTCCTCTTGCTAATCAACTGTCCGATTTTTCACTAGCACGTTCGATTACATCTATTGCAAACAACTGGCTGCCTCGTCAGGACCACACTCGATAAGTTAGTGTTAACTAACAGCTCACTCAGTCAATATTACCCAATACTATGCATGAACCGAGACATCGATAAGATAAGATTCGAATAATTATCATCTCCAACTGATATTCATTATGCGTTTATTCATTACTCACTAAAGCGCAACTCAAATAATATCTGAATTTTTTCAAGCACTATCTAAAATATTTTAGTTTTCCTACACAGATATATGTATAAATAAATATGTATATTTACAACTGTATTTGTCTTTGTCCTTCTTTGCACTGCAGACGTTGCAGCCATTTTAAAGCTGCATTTCAACTATAATTTGGCTTGTTTTACGGGCACAGAGATGTCATAGCCAAATGCTCGGTGGCTCAACCTGCCACACACACATAAGGGAACATGGTCTACATAATAATACGAGACAGCCAGCCATCCAGGCAGGCAGGTTGCCCTGGCAGTTCCCTGGAGGCAGTCATCCGACCAATGGCCGCAAAAGATATCAATGAACAATCGATGGGGCTGGCGACACACAATGGCCCGCCGCCCCTTAGCCGTCCGCATGCTGGCCAACTTGGGCCACACACACATATGCACAACTTACAGCAGAGATGGGGATACAGAAGCTACAAAGACACGGTTGTCGTCGCACTGAATTTGTAAAATACGTGACAAACATTTGCAATTTGGTCAAAGTCGCAGTCGCAGTCGTTATCGTTCTCTATCTAAAGTCCTGTCACAGGACTTTTTGTTGTTGTTGCTTTTCTTTACCGATATTTACAATTCAATTGTTCTAATTTCATTTCGTATGGCTCTCATTTTTCTGACCCAAAAAACAAAACCGAAAAGCAAGAGAAGAACGAATAGAAAATTGAAGTTCAATCGAATTGACAGTCAGTGAAAATTAAATGCCCCCGCAACTAAAAGCTGTTGTCTTTCGTTTTTTTTTTCTTCTTTGCTTTGCTAGTTTTCTTGTTTTTCACTTCATGTCTGAATTGATTTATTTATGTTCGAATCGACAGGGTTTATGCCTCTCTCCTTTATTTTTATTTTCCAGCTCGTA